AAAGTAACTATATTTAAAGATGTCCTGGCTGCAAATGTGTTTGGAGAGTACAGAATTTCTCATTTGACAATTATTTGGATTTTCTAGAAAGAAAATAATGCTTGCAATTCCAAAATCTTCAATTTCATGTAAGAATGATTTTTTTTTTCCTGTATATAAAAATGTAAATATTGGCTCAGTTTGAAGAGGAGAAAGAATGATCAACATACACTTTCATTCAACAATATGTAAATAAGGGCCACCTTGTAGCAGGCACATATTCTTCCAGTCAAAGATTAAATTGCCCACGAAGGCACTGCTAAAAGTGAGCTATCCCAGATAGCCCAGTGCAAGAAGCAATAAGGCCTGAATTATGAAGACTTGGAAGGTTGCTGTGAGGGGAGAAATGGATTGGGGAACGAGGAATGTTTTGTTAAAGTATTATTGAAGTAGCAGCCATGAAGCACTGGCAGCTCTGGGGAAGGGGTGTTGCCGCATTCCTTCTCAGAGCCATGTTATTTTCCCCTGTGCAGAGTCTGACGCATAGCAGGCTCTCCATGAAGACTTGCTTGGTCCTGTGCTCTGCTTCCACCTCTCAGCAGTGCCTTTCACTCTCAGGAGAGGCCCTGGGAGCAGCTGGGCAGAGGAGAGCAGCCTTTACTTGGGAGAGAAGTTCCTGCCTACAGAACAGGGCTGCCATGGTGGCTGTTGTCAGTGCAGTTCAGTGTGTGGTTGGGGCCCTTATGTCAGGATCACTTGTGCAACTTTTTAAAATGTAGATTCCTTTAGCCTCACAGAACCAGATCTCTGGGCGTGCATGAAGCAGAGGTGCTTACTAGCGCTGAGAAGCTTCTTTCTTTTTTTTTTTAAAGGAGGTTTTAAAATAAAGAGTAAAATAATGATCATTGTTGTTGCTGTTGTTAGGTGCCCCTGAGTCACCTTGAATCATAAGGATCCTATGCAAAACTGAACAAAGCACTGACCAGTACTGAGCCATCCCCATGATTAGTTGGGGACCATTGTGACCCATAGGGTTTTCGTTGGTTGATTTTTGAAAGTAGATCACCAAGCCTTTCTTCCTAGCTCGTCTTAGTCTGGAAGCTCTGCTAAAACCTGTTCAACGTCACAGCAACACACAAGCCTCCACTGAGGGACGACGGGTGGTGGTTGTGCATTGGCCAGGAATCAAAATTGAGTCTCCTGAGTAGAAAGTGAGAATACTGTCACTGAACCACCACTACCCTTAAAATAACGCCAGTGGGGCTAATCCTTTGATTTCTTCCTTTAAAAAAATTTTTTTATTGTGTTTTAGGGGAAAATTTACAGCGCAAATTAGTTTCTTATTCAAAAATTTATACACAAATTGTTTTGTGACATTGGTTGCAATCCCCGCAATGTGTCAGCAATCTCTCCCTTTCCTTTCCACCCTGGGTTCTCTGTGTTCATTCATCCAGTTTTCCTGTTCCTTCCTGCCTTCTTGTCTTTGCTTGTGGGCAGGTGTTGCCCATTTGGTCTCCTATGCTTGACTGAACTAAGAAGCACGTTCCTCACCTGTTACTGTTTATTTTATAGGCCTGTCTAATCTTTGGCTGAAAGGTGACTTCAGTCCTGAGTTAGCAGGGTGTTCTGGGGGTCACAGTCTTGGTGGTCCCTCCACTCTCTGTCAGACCAGTAAGTCTGGTTTTTTTTTGTGAATTTGAATTTTGTTCTACATTTTTCTCCCACTCTGCCCGGAAGCCTCTATTGTGATCCCTGTAAAAGTGGTTGGTGGTGGGCTTAGGCTGGTGGAGACTGTGGTTCATATGGTCCATTAGTTCTTTGAACTAATATTTTCCTTGTGTCTTTGGTTTTCTTCATTCTCCTTTGCTTTGAACGTGATGGGACCAATAGGTGTATCTTAGATGGTTGCTCACAAGCTTTTAAGATCCCAGACACTACTCACCAAAGTAGGATGTAGAACATTTACTTTATGAACTATGTTATGCCGACTGACCTAGATGTCCCCCGAGACCATGGTCTCCAGCCCTCAGCCCCAGTAACTCAGTCTCTCAAGGTGTTTGGATGTGTCTATGAAGCTTCTGTGACTTTGCCTTGTTCAAGTTGTGCTGACTTACCCAGTATTGTGTGTTGTCTTTCCTTTCACCTAAGTTAACGCTTGTCTATTATTCTAGTGAGTGATTTTCCCTCCCCACCCCTTGAAACCATCAAAGAATTTTTTTCTGTGTGTAAACCTTTTCTTGAGTTTTTATTGTAGTGGCCTCATATAATATTTGTCCTTTTATGATTGACTTATTTCACTCAGCATAATGCCCTCCAGATTCATTCATGTTGTGAGATGTTAAACCCTTGATTTTTTTTAGTGCAGTGTATCTAATATATGATCTACCCCTTTGGCCTTGTTTTAAGAAGTTGTAGAACTCATATTGGCCTTTGAAAGAAACAACTTTTAACAGGACTTTTCTTTCTTTTTTTACTTTCTGCTATTTGTACTTCCCTTCCTGGCGTGGTGGCTAAGAGCTACAGCTGCTAACCAAAGGGTTGGCAGTTCGAATCCACCAGGAGCTCCTTGGAAACCCTATTGGCAGTTCTACTCTGTCCTATAGGGTCACTTTGAGTTGGAATTGACTCGACAGCAACAGGTTTTTGGTTTCCAGCCAGAACGTACTAGTAAGCTGTAGGCAATAAGAGTTAAATATCATTCACCAACAAATAGGTTGGGCTAAAGGCCTGGTCCCAGGACTTACTAGCAGTGGGCCTTGGGCAAGGCTCTTAACCTCTCAGGTCCTCTGTTTCCAAATCTCTATGACAAGTAATACCTTCTTCTTGAAGATTGAATGAGATATTATGAGTAAAGAGCTAAGCCAAGTGAGCCCAGAATTGCTTAATCAGTTTCTGGAACCCCCACAAACCTGACCCTAATGCAAGGCCAACCTGATTTTTTCCATGATGGATCTATATATACTTTCTCAAACATTCTTTAATTCTGTACTCTTCCCTTTGTCCATAATGCCCTTCTCCTCCTTTCTCAACTTTTGAAGGTAAGTCCATTCTTTCAACATCCATCTCAGATGATACCTTTCTTCTGGGCTTCACCCCCAGCTCCCAGATATCCTAGTTAGCTGATCACCCCTCGTTGTTGGTTGGGACATTCTTCTCCCGTAACACAATTGAATTGAACCATAGTTATATATTAGCCTGTCATGGTCACTAGACTGTGTGAAACTTAGTCAGCATTTAGCTTGGTGCCTGACACATAATTGAGGATCAAAACATTTTTTTTTAATGCTTGGATAGGGATGGATGGATGTGCATGCATGGGTTGCTGGACGCAAGCGAATACATGGGTGTGATGTAAGCGAGGCAATGGGCCTATGAGAGTTGAGTGGTTGTGCTAAGTCCTTTTCCCCAACCCCCACAGTGCTAGGCTGGGTGCTGAGGAAGGACAGCCTCCAAACACAGGTCCTGCCGGGTTTCTCCGCTTTGGGACGTAGCTTCGTAGGGCACCGGCAGGGGGCGGCGTTGTCCCACAGCTGGATGCTCCGCGGGTGCCCTTCGCTCCCCGCCTGCCCTAGGAACGCGCAGCTTTCGTGGGGAGGCCGAGGCTCCCCCAGTTCTAACGGGGGCAGACAGTTCTTGCTCCCAGGCTTGGTGGCTTGGTTTGCTCAGGGCCTTGGGGGAAGCAGTATTTAGCTTCCCCTGCGCTCTCCTCGTTGCCCCCACCTCAGCCTCCCGCAGCCTCTTCGTCAAGGGGAAGCTACTCTGGTTTAGTTTGGAGTCAGCGAGCGACCAAAATAAATGGCGGGGGAGGTGGGGGCGGGGGCACTTTGTAACAAAAAAAGGTTGTGCGAGAGCGAGTGCGCCGGGCACAACCATTACATTCCTTTAGCTGTGCAGGGGTGGGACCCAGGCCTAATGAAGCGACCGAAGCTGGAGAAGGGAAACTCTAGCTGTTCTGCAAACGCATACTTCTTCATTTGGTGGGAAATCAAATGATTTCACAGTGATTTTTTTTTTTTTTTTCACGTGAAATAGGAAAACTTTAGCGTGCTGCCACAACGGCGCCTTGCCGCTTTTGGTTCGCGGAGAACTCGCCGCAGCGCGCCGGACACCTCACAGGACCCCTTCCGAAACCCCGGGGCCGCGCGGTCGCAAAGGCGCTTTGTCTGCGCCGCGTTCTGGCCCGCCCCGTCCTAAGCGATTGGCGGCTCGCCTGCCTGGCCGTCCCACTCGCCGGGGAGTCCGCTCGGTGACGCGCGCTGGCCCGCGCCGCGCTCCCGGCCACCCGGAGCCTCTCGAGCGCAGGAGGCGGACGCACACCCGCGGCACCGCCCCCGCGCCTCCTCGGACTGCCTCTGCGCTCCTCCGTCTTTTCCGAGGCTTCGAGAATCGAAACCGAGTTATTGGAGAGCTTCCCTCCGCGCGCGTCAACTGACGTGCGTGGACAAGTGGACTCATTAGTTCACACTTAGACTGGGTTTATGAATGGAGTGAACGATCTAGCTGTATACACGTACACTGCTAAACAGGGAGATCGTGAGGACTCTCCGGAGTCCCGTCATTAAGATAATGACACGCGCTCTCCGGCAAGAATTTTATTTTTCCGAAGTTTTTCAGTTCCGCAATTTAAGTCATGATCTAGTTTTGATGGCCACTTAAGACTTTTGAGGCATTTTAAGTGTACCTCCTCGTTGGAGAAAAAGAAGCGGAAGAGGACGCAGGGACCAAATACGAATTAAACATATACGTACAAATACACGCACATATAGATGTATACATATGCAGACACATGAAACCGCGGACCTTGTAGTCTGTGGGCCGCCCGTCTATTTACTCAGTGCTCACCCAGGCTCAGGTGGCCGGGTGCCCTGCAGGCGGGTGAGCGGGCAGCTGGGCGGCTGGGCGGCGGGGGGCGGAGCCCTATGCAGATGAGGAGGGTGTGGCGAGTGCGCCGCGCCGGGGCCCCGGAAGCGCGGAGAAGCCCGGTATAAAAAAAGTACTGAAGACATTTCCTGACACAACTGCTAAAGCTCCAGAGACAGGACCGTGTGCGGCGGCGGCGGCGTTAGTAGGAGCCGCCACCTCCAGGACTACCGCAACCGGGGCGGCAGCGGCGCGGGCGGAGGCGAGGGCGGGAGTGACCAGCGCAGGCGGCGGGGGTCTGGGAAAGACGAAGTCGCTCGTGGCTGTTGGAAGCGCACTCGTCGCCCGTGAAGTGTTGCCGCTTCGCAGTTCCTCCGCTCTGCTCTCCTAGAACGGGCAGCTGCCTCCAGGTGACACAGACGGGATTCCCGCTTGCGCTTTCCAGATGCATCAGAGATACTTTTGGTGCGGGGCTGCTCTGCGGGGCGCGGCGCGCGCGGCTGGGGGTGGCAGGGGTCTGGGGAGGGAGAGTCTCAGAGGAATTCCCGGGCCAGGGGGCGATCTCGGAAGGGGATGTATTCTTCCCTCCGCTGGTCCCCTGCCCTCCCGGCTGCCCGTCCTTACCGCGCTCTTTCCTCCCTCTTTCTTTTAGGACTGAGCAGGGCCAAGTGGCGCTCGGCGGGCACTTCATGGCAGACGGCGAGGGGTACTTTGCCATGGCCGAGGACGAGCTAGCCAGCGGCTCCTACATCCCTCTGGGCGGCGACTTCAGCAGCAGAGACTTTGGCGGCGGCGGCGGCTTCGATGGACCCTGTTTGGACTATTGCGAAAGCCCCACGGCGCACTGCAACGTGCTGAACTGGGAGCAAGTGCAACGACTGGACAGCATCCTGAGTGAGACCATCCCGATCCACGGGCGCGGCAACTTCCCCACGCTGGAGTTGCAGCCCAGCCTGATCGTGAAGGTGGTGCGGCGGCGCCTGGCGGAGAAGCGCATCGGCGTCCGCGACGTGCGCCTCAACGGCTCGGCCGCCAGCCACGTCCTGCACCAGGACAGCGGCCTTGGCTATAAGGACCTGGACCTCATCTTCTGCGCCGACCTGCGGGGGGAAGAGGAGTTTCAGACTGTGAAGGACGTCGTGCTGGACTGTCTGTTGGACTTCTTACCCGAAGGGGTGAATAAAGAGAAGATCACACCACTCACGCTCAAGGTAAAGTAAGCCCGAGAGGGGTTTGGGTCCTGAGCGGGACTATTTGGGCCCGCGTACCGCGGGTAGAGATGGGGGGAGGGGGCTTCCGTTTGATGTCAAAAACTGCGGCCATGATGCGTTTGGACGCGCTTATGTATTGTTTTATATGTTGACGGGTAAATCAAGGTTCGTGAACGTATTGAGTGTTCTAGTTTACTTGGTGCATCAGCACCACGACTCTTCTCCTCCTGCTTCCTCCTCTGTCCTCCCTTCTCTTCCTCTTTATTTTTTAACTCTTGACTTTCCTTGGTTGAGTCTTGTCTAGAATGGATTCTAGTATGTGGAAGAACGAAATGATGTAAATCTTTTGAGTCGTTTTATGACCTAGGTTTTGGGAAAACAGAAGCCTGTAGCAGAACCGAATCAATGAGTTTATTATTGTATTGGAAAATATGAATAGATGACATAGCTGCATTCAGCTGACTCCCTGTGTTAAGGATATAGTGGTTTCCCGTAGTTGGCTGATGTGTCAAAGTTAAGTGCTCTCCCTGTACCCCTCCCCCCCCGCGTTGCTTTAAGGCGCGCTTTTTATTGTTAAAATAGTCTGAGGAGCCAACCTTCCAGAGTGTTACAATTTAGTTTGTATTTGCCTGTAACTGCAGACAGTGCTTCTGGAAGGACACACAAGATAACAGTGGTTGCCTCGGGGAGGGGAAAAAGGATGAGAGGCCATACAGCTTTTCACCATATGGCCTCCTATGTCTTTTGAATAGTGCGTGAATATTGTGCCTGTTAGACTGTTGTCAAGAAATAACTTTAAAAAAATCAGACATGACAACAGAACCTCTTAGTACTGTGCTATGTCTGCCAGAAGCCTCAAACTATTACTTCTTGTCTCTTTCCCAGACAGTAAAACTACTCGTTAAATGTATTTTTTTCTGTTTTCAGAAGACTGTTTAAACCTGTAGGTAGTGTTTTGCTGAAACTTGACAAAACAAACGAGGAAACAGCAAAATAATTCTCAGCTCTGTAGAGGATGCATTTATTTATCTTTTAGTTATGCTCATCATCTTGTTTTGTCCTTTAAATTGTAGGAAGCTTATGTGCAGAAAATGGTTAAAGTGTGCAATGACTCTGACCGATGGAGTCTTATCTCCCTGTCAAACAACAGTGGCAAAAATGTGGAACTGAAATTTGTGGATTCTCTCCGAAGGCAGTTTGAATTCAGTGTAGATTCTTTTCAAATCAAATTAGACTCTCTTCTCCTCTTTTATGAGTGTTCAGAGAACCCAATGACTGAAACTTTTCATCCCACTATAATTGGTGAGAGTGTCTACGGCGATTTCCACGAAGCTTTCGATCACCTGTGTAACAAGATCATTGCCACCAGAAACCCGGAGGAAATCAGAGGGGGAGGCCTACTTAAATACTGCAACCTCTTAGTGAGGGGCTTTAGGCCAGCCTCTGATGAGATCAAGACCCTTCAGAGATATATGTGTTCGAGGTTTTTCATCGACTTCTCAGACATTGGAGAGCAGCAGAGAAAACTGGAGTCCTATTTGCAGAACCATTTTGTGGGATTGGAAGACCGCAAGTATGACTATCTCATGACCCTTCACGGAGTGGTAAATGAGAGTACGGTGTGCCTGATGGGACATGAAAGAAGACAGACTTTAAACCTTATCACAATGCTGGCTATCCGGGTGCTAGCTGACCAAAATGTCATCCCTAATGTGGCCAATGTCACTTGCTATTACCAGCCGGCCCCCTATGTAGCAGATGCCAACTTTAGCAATTATTACATTGCACAGGTTCAGCCAGTATTCACATGCCAGCAACAGACGTACTCCACTTGGCTACCCTGTAATTGAGGATCATTTAAAAAGGCCCAGTGAGGAAGCCATTTCAGCAAGATAGGGGGAAAAAAGAAAACAAACAAACAAAAAAGAGTGACCCAGCCCTGGTTAGGGATGTATTTTGTGCAATGATGATCTGCTCCTGATTTTAAGGTTGGCAAAAGTTGTGGATTTTTTTAATAGGTATGGGAGTATGATCTAGAAATAACTGCCCCCTCCTTCCCCAAACCTTCCCACATCGGCATCTTACCCAATTGGATTCTATCTTGGAATACAAGAGAACTGTCATTAAAAGCAACCAGGTTCTCTGAAAATAACAAGGGAAAAATGATGACAATATGGGTTTGCAGTCAGTACCTGCTCCCATAGCTTTGCCATAGAGGGGGTGAAAAACGGGAAGTTTCTTTTAGGATGTAATTCACAAAAGGGAAAATACAGAAAAAAGTTCTCACTCTGAGTAATTTATAAATTCAGGAGTTCAGATAGTAACAATACAGGAAGAAGGGGAACTCCAACACTGAGATCTCTGGGGCTTATAGCAAGTTCTTTCTGTGGAATGATGCTATTTAGCTAACAGAAACAGCTTGCTCCAAATAAACAGTAGTATGTTGGTGCAGTTCTCATAACAGCAGAATATATGATGACACAATCCATTATTTCCAGCTGTGCGCATAGCTCACATTTTTAAAACGTGAAAGTGCAAGCAGAAACAGCTGTAGCAAAGAAAGTACGCTCAAGGACCAAAGATTTAACAGATAAAAATACCCAAGTAGAAGAGATAGAATAGAATATATGAAGAGTTACTATATTTGTTACACACCAATATACATCAAAGTGCCTGTTAACTTCTGAAAATTTGAAGTGGAAAAAAATTATTTTATGGTTTAATGATTATCAGGGACTCAAGAAAAAACATAAGCTTGTGAATGGTGGAGGAAATGCCCTATTTTTTTTCTTGGCATAAAGTTTTTCTTGTATAAAGTTAACATTGTTGGTGTGACATTATCATAGGTACATGTGTACGTGTGTGTCTATTATGTGTGTGTGTATATATATGTATTTAGGATATGTATATATACACACAGTAGATGGACTATGGTCTAGAATAATGTAGCAAATAGGAGATGTTTAAATACTGTGTGCTTTTATGTTTTCAACAGGATGACATGAGACGTGGGCATATTGCAGTGATGAATTAAAACCCACATCTAAAAAATTAAAGCAAATGAAGGAAGGAAACAAGTAATATATTTGATAGGAAGAACAGAGATTATATGTTTTTAGTGAGGTTCTCCCCCCACCCTTTTTTTTTTTTTTTTTTTGTGAGCCATAGACTTTCACAAGTGGGAGAATATTTGTTTGGCAGAGCACTCTTTTTTATACTGAACTGTCATTTTGACAGGTTGAACCTTTATTTTTTCTTTTAAATACTTGCATATTTCCATGGTGTATAATCCAGTGGATCATAGATCAGTGATAGGCTATTTAAATCCCTAACTGCTAAAAATTATTTTTTTCTGGTGATCTAAACACTACTTACTATTTAAATGAATTTTTAAATAAATGCATTCTGCATTCCAGGACCACTAGAATTTAAAAAATGTGAAATGACCCTTTTTAAAGAGTATTTGCACAATTGCTTAAAATTTATATGTGAAATATATATTATATATAAAATTTTATAAATTCATGCCAAGATGAAATGTCTTTGATCTGGTTGTCACACTGCATTTAAATATTTAGTACTGTACTTTAAAGTAAATCACTTTGTATTAAAATAAATCCAACTTTATTTTCTTTCTTTCCCAAGAGACCAGCTATACCTTTGTGAAATCAACTGGCATTACTATTTCAGTTCAATGACAGCTAATCCTAAAACGATGCATTCTCCCAGCCCTTAACTTCTCTAGACACTGGTCTCTGAAAATGCATTTGTTAAAAACAAAAGTAGCCTTCCCTTTGTATGATGAAACCAGGGCTTTGAACCTGTTAGGTCAGGTTCAAACCCCTGCTGAGAATTTGCATTTCTAACAACCTCCCAGGAAGTTATACATAAGAATCACCTGGGTATCTTGTTAAAATGTAGATTCTGATTCAGTCTATTTAGGGTGGAAACGGAGTCCTGGTGGCGTAGTGGTTCAGGGCTTGGCCGCTTAACCAAAAGGTCAGCAGTTCGAATCCAGCAGCCGCTCCTTGGAAACCCTACAGGGGCAGTTCTACCCTGCCCTTACAGGGTTACTGTGAGTCCAAATCGACTCGATGGGCAATGGATTTGGTTGTTTTTGGGCAGGGGGTGGGAGGTTGGATGGAAATGCAGATTCTCAGCAGGGAACTTGTTAGCACATTCTCAGCAGGGGTTGGGACCGGAACAAATGCGTTTGAAGCCCTGGGTGAAATAATCACGTAATCCCCACCGACTTTAGTGGATGACTGTTTACTTTGATAATTCCTCAGAAGATCCAACCAGAATATTTTTGTCATCAGTGAATAAAGAGGGATTTGGGAAGAAAATAGCATCATCCTATTGGCAGTGTAATAATTTTGTTATTTGGGCATCACTTAGATGCACAATCCTAGGTTAATCCATCTGGTCAACCTTTTGTGCTGCTTTCTCTGAAGCTTTAATGGGAACCTGATGGGTTTGCCTTTGCAGCTTCCCTGTGAATTCTCTCAGAGCTGTAACAGCTACTGCACTGCCACTCACTGTTTCCTAGGGAACTCTTCTGCTCCCAAGTTGGCTCAGTCTCCCCTCACTCCAGCCCTGGGTTTGAAAAGTTAATTGTGAATTCCCAGGAAACATTATTTGCAGATTAAGGCTGACACTCAACTGTCAGAAACCAGAGCTCTGCCTGCTTCGCTGTTTGGACGCATTCTAACAGAAAACTAAGGGAAGGCCCAGAAACACAGGTGCAGCTGGTAACCTGGTTTCTTCCTTTTCATCCCAACTCTTGTCAACTGAGTTGTCCACTCTTCTGAAGAGTCTGGAGGTCTCTAGCTCTGCCATAGCAACAACCTGCTGTTAATTTATGACACAGATTTTTGTTTGGAGGAGCTTTTATTTTAAAATATATTTTTCATTTATTTTCTCAAATATTTATGTTCTTTTTTTCTTGCTTACTCCAGGGTTGGTAGCATAGTTCTAAGTGCCAGCACCTGGCAATCAGATAGAACAGGCTGTACTCAAGACAACTTTGAGCATTTACTTTAAGACCTATATAATTTATTTCTCTTTTGTATGTACTATAGTCTTGTGAATATGTAGTTGAACAAACAGTGGAATATATGTCTCTCTTTGTGGCTGTGTGGCCTAAAAATTTGAATGTCTGGGGTGAGAGAGCCATGTGTATAGGTCAGAGAAAAGAACAGCTCTCAACTCCCAATTAGTGCCTGTGATTTGCTTGCTTTTGTGTTTTTCTGGCCTAGTGTGCTGTTACTTTAAAACAGGAAGAAGTTTTGTCTTCTGGAGGCTCTTCTCACCTGTCCATTCTGGCATGTCAGAGAACACTTAACCTGTGACGATGCCCTTTTGAAAGGTTTACTTCATTTGCAGTAAATCCAGCTGCCTCAAGAATTCTACACCGAGATGAACTTTTCCCTTACAGAAATGGGATGAAGTATCTGCTCACTTTGGTACTGGGTGGACTATTTTAACATGGCTCCAAAAAATGCAAGGAGAGAAGAATATCTGTAATCGAGGCCAAGAAGGAAATGAAATGAAAAGAGAACATACTGTTTTTACCACCGCTTTCTGTTTGCTTATCGTTGGTTGCTTTACTGTGCATAAAGTTTTCATTGCAATGCTTGTTATAAGAATATTGTGAACTGTTTTGTAAATGAAATGTATTATGATGAAAGCTGTCAGCAGTTCAAAAATAAGCTTTTTTTTTGTTGTTATTGTTGAAGATGAAGTGTGTTAGATGAAACCAAAAAGCCAAAAAAAAAGTAATTTCATATATAGCACCTATTGAATATAATCTTTCCTTAAAATTTCTTTTAGCATAGCCTTTTCAGTGCTAAAAAAGAATCTCTATGTAATATTTTATTGTAACAATGGCTTGCTAACAAAGTAAATGGTATGAATACAAAGTCTGAGGATGTCAAGGTAACTTGGCGAGACTTGCTGCAAAGCCTTGCAGAATGGAGGAAGCTCTGCCCGCTGGCTGTCTCTCCCTCCAACCTCTCTACAACCATTGCCTGCTTTGAGGCGTCCTGTTGCAGCAAGCTGCACCTGGGTCACTCTTGGAATATTTTGACTATAGATTATGTCACAGGCAGAAAAGGAGTTGATGGAAAAGACTTAAAAACTGACATGTTTGAATCAATGCTAGAGGGAACAGATTGTGAATTTTGTTTACAGCATCCAATATTTGGATTTTTTTTTTTTTTTTGTAAATAAAAAGAAGTTATTTTTTTCTACTGATTTGTGACTGCTGTCTTTGGTGTTTGTGTTGGCTAAAGAGTGTTTGCTCTGAATCCCAACCCGTGTCCATGAGAAAGGATGAGGCGGCACTTGAAGGAAACCAGCCTTTAGTAACTTGCCAGTTAGAGCGCAATAAATTAAAACATCCAGCTCTCAGCCAGCCCATCTCTGACTGGCTTAGCTCCAAAAGAATCTGGCTGCGAGGTGCCAAAAAAATCTTGTCAGGGTATTGACTAAACTGTGTTAAGAGACCCAGAAATCAGCTGTTTTCAAATATCAGTAGATGCTTAGGGTTCTGGACGCCAGGACTCCTTAGCCCTGACTGGGCCTCGATTTCCATGAATAGCCTAAGCGATGTGATTCAGTCATCAATGGTTATATATATTATCTCTTTGAGGATCTATAGTATTTTCAGAGTTTAAATTGGGGTGAAGTATTAGAAGCCAGGGATTGGGAGGGTAAATGGAAGAGTGATCATAGGATATAAGATGGTATTTTTTCTGTGGGTGAGCTGGGGTGCAAAGAAACTGCCCTTTCGGAGAGTATTTAGTGCAATCTCACCAGAATTTCCAGGGGGCATACATTTATCTATTCATTAAAATTTGTCTTTGTGTGATATTGGAGACTATCAGCGTAGTAGCACATGAGAATTTAGGAAGCCTAAGCTATTATGGAGCCTTGGTGGCACAGTGGTTTAAGAGCTTGGCTGCTAACCAAAAGGTTGGCAGATCAAATCCACTAGCTGCTCCTTGGAAACCCTATGGGGCAGTTCTACTCTGCCCTATAGGGTTGCTATGAGTCAGAATTGATGGCAATTTTTTTCTTTTGGTTTTACGCTATTATAGAATGTTCTTGTGGTTTTTAAAATCATTTAAAGTCCTGACGTTGGATGAAAGGCTTGATGGACATGGTTTATGAAAGAGCTACTCCTGGTATTAAAAGCTAGCTGTCCTCACATATATATCATAAAAATACAAGGTGGTTATTTGGTTGGATAATAGTCTTTGTGTGTCATTCTCTTCCTTCGTTGCAACCTCCTCATCCTTCTACAACCAGTCCCTCACATGTCTGTGGTGGTCACATAATTCTTTTTAAACTCTGGTTGAATAAGGACAGTATATATTAAGCTCCACCTAGACCTAGATACACCCTGCCATTTCTAGTTGAATTACCAGGCGACACCCAGCTAAGTCTAGAGAGAAATAAGCCACACTTACTTTCCTTAGGAACCTCATTTTCTAAACACACCCAGTTTCTTTAAAAACGAAAAAAAAAGTTAATACCCAAAAGCAAAAGCAAAAAAAAAAAAAAAAAAACATAGTCTTTAAATGTAAAGTGAAATAAGAACTGTTAAGATCATCAAGTACTTCTGAAGTTAAATTTCAGTGTCTTCCTCAGAACCAAATTTGAAATAAATAGTATAAATATCCTCCAGTGTGATAGCAAATGCATTCAGGTAGGGAGAGGGGGAGGATAAATGATTTTAAAAAGGACAGTGGCCTTCACCCAGGGCCCAGATCTTGGTTTCTAATGCCATTCTACAATGAAAGGAACCAGGGCTCCTTGGAGAAATGGCTGAATGTAAGGTTAAGACAGAGAATATACAAGATAAATCTGGAGCATCTTGTAGTTCCAGAAAGTAAGAAAGTGCTACAAAAAAAACCCAACCAACCAGCCAAACAAACAAACAAACAAAAAAACGCACAATGATGACAATGTGTCAAAGGGACACAGGGGCCAACTGAAAGAGCTACCAATGGCCAAAACTGAAACAATGTGAACAACGAAATAAATAAAGCAGTAATGGGTTATAACCCAAAGTATGAAATACATATCTAGGAGTTCATGCTGATATAAATAAATGATGAAATAAATAAATGTGGGTGAAGAGACAAACTCCTGTGCAGAAGAATTCCAAATAATGTATGTAAATACTGCCCCCTCAAGGAGGTGGAGCATAACTCTACACCCCTTAAGTATGGGCTGCACATGGTGACTTCCTTCCAAAGAATTCTGTTTGAAAAAGGAGGGAAAAAAGTAGCTTTACACTGGAGAAACTTAACAAACAGTACCTTAGCCAGGTGATGATCAAAGTCAACATTAACAGTGATAAGTCATGATGATAATATACAGCCTTGATATGATGTGATTAGAGTGGTAATTTGCCTGTATGCATAACTGCAGACTAATGATGAGAAAAACAGAACAAATCACCTTTGAGGGACATTCTACAAAATACCTGATCATTACTCCTCAAATCTGTGAAGATCATCAAAAACAAGGAAAGTCTGAGAAACTCACAGCCAAGAGGAGCCTGAGGAGACATGACAACTAAATATAATGTGGTATCCTGGATGGGATCCTGGAACAGAAAACGACATTAA